AGCTATTGCCATTCTCTTGACAGCATATATGCAGAGATAACATTAGTTTTGTTTATTAAAGATTTTCAATAAGTTCATTGTGCAATATCAATGTTAATAAATAAAAGGGGCAAGTGCCCAAAATGTATTGGCACCTAAACAGCAGAATAAAGGCAGATGTAAACTAAAGCTTGGTGTCTATTGAATGCACTTCATTGTCCAGTAAGGATAAACATAAATAAAAGACACAATAAATAATTTTATCACTTTTTATGCTGTCAGTGTTTTTATTCAAAAATCAGCATTTTTCTACCAATGTCCCACTATTTCCCATTCTAAAGGTGGCAAGTACATTAATAGCATAGAAAAGAAGAAATATCACAAAGAATTTGGAGATCTAAAAAGGAACAGTGAAGTGCAGACAGCAAGTAGAAAAGTCTTTGGATGTTTTTGCTATGGTCAAGCAAATCATACTGCAAGATTTTGCAAGTTTGCACAGAAAAATGAAGAAAAAGAATGAAAATGCACAATCAACCAGATAACAGTAGAAGATAAAATTTTACAATGAGAAAACTAAAAAATCTAAAGCAATGCACAATTTGCATTATGAAAAAATGAAAAATGATGATTGTTTTTTAGACAATGCTTGTTCAGAACATATGACACAAGGAGAGAACAAATTTTTGAAAATGTTTCCTTATAATGGACCAATAAGAATAGCATGTGAAAAAAGTCTATCAATGAAGAAGGGTCTTATAGTATTAAATACAAAACAAAAATGGAAGAAACACATTTTATGTGGAAAATGTTCTTATTCTAATCTTTGAAAGTTACCTAATTTTTGTAGGATGATTGACAGAACAAGGATATAAGATATAGTTTAATGATAATGTGATGGTGTATGATATGTATGGAGTAGTAATCTTGAAAACAGTTGACAGATTATATTATATATATGAAACAACAACAATAGTGCATTTAAAACACAAAAATATGTTCCAGTAACGAATACAGAATCTTAACTTGGATGATTTAATCTTTCATGAAGTTGAACTTCATGAAAGATTAAATCATCCAAGTTAAGATTCCTTCAAACAAATTATTCAGATTACAGACAGAAAAATAGCAGAAGAGCCTGAGGACTTGCATAAAGTTTTCATCACAGAAAAATTGAAGAGATATCCCTTTTCTGAATGTCAAAAGAAAGAGCAAAATATCTTATCTTTTTGGAAAAAGATTCTAGATATAGTGAAGTTTATTTTCTAAAACTGAAAAATAAGAATGAAGTAAGATATGACTAAAGAATAAACTTCTTAAAAATTCCTTCCTTTAAAAAAAATTTTTGATGTAAAAATATTTTTTCTATCGTGTAGCATTCTTGCAGTTTTTGGAATCTTTTTCCTTCCACAAGTTTTTGCATGTTGTTATATTCTCTACTAAAATTTTGAATTGTATTACTTTTATCCCTTCTTTCTTATATTAATAACAAATTTTAATTAAAAAATCATCATATTTACATAAATTATAATTAAAATTTAATTTACATTTTCATTATAGCAATGTGGACTGACTGATTTTTGTAAATAGTCAGTCAGTCAAATTCTTTTGCAAGTTTTATATTAAATAAATAAAGAACTTACTGGATAATATATAACTAACAAACAACACCTTATTAATCCCAGCAATATTTAATAAGAATAATAACGTTTTTGACTGTTTTAAACAGCCTTTATCAGTTAAACTATTTCAAACTAAAAGAATGCTAAAAATAGAATACTAGCTTTTAAAAACTCAAATTTCAACGTAAAACGCAGTTGCATAGTAAAAACGTACATAAATTGCGCATATGCTTTGTATAGGAATAAAAATAAAATAAAAATAAACATAATCGAATTTTTTTTGCCGCATTAATGCCTATTAGTAGATTACCATTATGTGCGATGGTAAAATGATTTCCATGCGGTGGATAAACCATCCGCATCCCTGTGGTTAATACAGCCCGTGTAATGTGGGCTTTGTATATTTCCAGCTTCTCAAGATACTTCAGGACCTGCTTGTTGTTCGTGGCCCTGATGATAGAGGCCTTGTCCCAATGCACGTTGACTTCCTGTTGTTTAGCGAAAGCCGCAAGTACAGTGCTATCCAAGCTCTTAGTGATTGAGTATTTATGTTCTTTAATTCTCTGCATTAAATGTCGCATAGTTGCACCAACGTATAATAGATCAGAGTTAAACTGACGATCCCTTAACGGTATAGCATACACTCCCGTTCTATTATTCTGGTTTTCTTTTTTCTTGTCGTTTCTTAATAATCTATATATCGTAGGATTACGAAGATATAGCATTCTTTATGTTATTGTTGTTGGCCACTCTTTTCATCAATGTGTGCAAGAAAGGAAAATAATTAAGGACTACTTTTCTTCTTTCATCCCTATTCAGAAGTTGTCGTTTTGTTGGTTTCTGAAACTTATTAATAAGCCCTTCAATTTCTTTTGTCCGATAACCATGCTGCAAAGCTGTTGTACGAATGTAATTTAATTCCTTATATGTATCATAAACACTGGTACAATGTGTGTATGCACACTTGATCCATGCACGAAATGTCGCATGTTTAAAATTCCTAGGATTGAAAGAATTTTTTGAAATAATAATAGGCTGATAACTCGGTTTTTTATAAATGTCTGTCCATATTTCACCCTCTTTGCATGTGATTGAAAGATCAAGAAAATTTACATTATAAGCACTTTCTTGGTCCAATGATAATATCAGACCATACGGGTTTTCGTTGATTTTATTAAGAAATTCCCGACTGCAACCATCATTCCTCCAGAGTATGAAAACATCATCTACATATCTTGCGTACAAAATGATGTCATTTTGAAAGAAGGAAAGAACTTTGTTTTCCAAACGACGCAAAACCAATTCACATAAAATAGCAGACATAGGGCTGCCCATTGGGACCCCTCATCTTTGTAAATATGTCACTCCTTCAAAGACAAAAAATGATGTGTAACATATCAAATTTGCAAGCCCCAAAATGTGTGCAATTTTATAAGACCGAAAATACAGGAATATCCTTTTGCTATAAAAAACGCAGTACAGCTGGTGGAGAAGCACAGGAGCGTTACCCTCAAAGATAATGAGTGTATGACTGTAATGGATTTTAAATCCTTGTTTCCATTCATAAGATTACCGCCATGTTTTTTGCGAGCTAAGAGACTTTCTTTTTGCTAATATAGAAAATCCGACAAGATACCACGCACACATTATTACAATAATACAATAATATATAATTAATACAATAATGGCATGCTACTAGATATAAAAAAATTAATTGCTTTAAACAAACTATGTTGCTATTTTTATCAATAATAGTGTAATCTGGAATCACCTTACAAAGTATGTAAAGTGTTTTCAATATTTCAAATGTTTTCAATAAGGTGTTTTATAATAAGAGAGACACAGAAAACACCTTACAAACTTATTTTTGCTGTTGGGAGAAAGACCCAAACAAAAACCTCATGAAAAATCATCAGATTTAAGGATCATAACTTAAAAGTGCAAAAGTTTGAACATTCTTGGAAGATGGCTTACCACAAACAATAAATGTAAATAAAGAAAAATATGCATTCTTTAAAACAGAAAATTCTTCAAAAATAGAACACTTAATCAGAAGACCAAAATAACAATCCTGAAAAACAATGATCTGGAGCACTGCTGTCTGTAGATATAAATCAAACATTACAACAGCAAACAATAAACAAACTCTTTCATAATGTGATACTCAAAAAATGAGCATTTGGACAGAGAAAGAGTAAGTTTTAAGGAAACCAAATAAAATAAGAGAACTTTTTATCGTCATCACGAGAAGAAAGGTCACATTTGCAGACATCTAGTAAGACAATAAACCGATATTGTGAAAATTGGACTTAAGACACAAGACATTATTATACAACAAACCAAAAAGGATCTAAGTGAAACAAAAGACTGTCAGGCATTGTAGAAGAAAACCACATTAGCTAATAAGACAAGCAAAGGTCAAAAAATATTAAGCAGTTATTTCAGCAAAGTAACAAATATATATAATAATGTCAAGTAAGAAAGAAAACAATTTGCTCTTTTTTGAAATGAATATAAACAGCAACACAAATAAATTTACACTCTGTTTCTTGTGTTTAAATCATATCAAAATATCACATTCTAGTAGCTTATTATTATTAAATTATGTTATCCTTTATTAATATCGTATATATTATTTTAATTCAAATTAAAACAAATATTAGAAATACCGACACAATTCTATTCTTAATTGTTTTACAATTAATATAAAATTATACTAATTTCCAAAGAAGCTTAAATAAAATTTTGCCGACATCAGGATGAATTTCAGATTTTCTGCATAACAGACTTTAGCATTTATAAATTCTATAAATTACTAGTTTTAAGCATAAAGTTTATTGAATTTACAAACAAATGATTTATTTCATAAGCTAAATGTTACAAATGCAGATTACAAAACAGCTTAAATATTTCTAAAAAGTTTCTTGCATCAAGTTATTTATAACATTTCTATATCCTTCTCAATTTCCATATATAATTCAAATAACTTAAATATTTGTAATGTTTTGTATAAATTTAGCTTTAGGTCTTTTCATTATTTCTATAAAACTTTTGTTCATTTATCAATGTTATAATTAGTTTTCAGCTCCAAACGTCTCAAGTGTACATATATATTATTATAAGAAAGTAGATAAGCGTTATTTATAGATTACTTCATGGAAATGTTGAAATTTTCAATTATACATAGAGGAACGCCTACTTAAACAGATCAAGCACGTAAAGATTGGTATAATAAAAAAATGACTGATAATTATATGTTAAGACGGCAATAATAAACACCGAAGGAAGCAATTTACGTATCGAGAAAATTCATTTTTTTAATATTTCATTTCCGGTTTTAAACAAATTAAAACTAGGCCTACTTCTCGTTGCATTGAAGTAATATAGAAATCACTCACTCACCATTCATACCTTGGATCCGTTTACTAATTCATTGAATATTAGAATTAGTGGCAAAACTTATGGTAATCAAACTAAAAAGAACTATAAATCCCAAATTCCAACTGTTAACATATCGTATCTTGTTTATCTAAGAAACGTAATAACGCAAAGTGTCAACTGGTGACGTCATCACCAGCAGTGACAATGATGCCTCCCTCTAGAGAGCGCTCTTTGTTTCCGATGTTCATTTGTACAGATTTTTTTTTTTTTTAATTTCATTATAATTAAATACTGTATATTTTTCGGGTTGAATACGAATGTAATATAAAGTGATTAAATTTAATATTATGTATTTTTATATGTATAATCAATAAAAATAAATATATCAGATTCGAGTAAATCATTTTTTTTACAGGAATTTAAATCGTCGTAAAATATGGAATGACCGTTCGTACGCTTTTATCAGTTCGATACTTATTTTAAAGCACTCACCTAACTCCATCTCTAATAATATTGTAAAATAACACTTTAAAATTTTGTTTACCTTCAGAAATTTTGAACTTTGAAACAATAACTATCAGGAAGTACTGTAGTATGCACTGACTGAAAGTTCCAAGATCAAAAGACATCTCCAATTGGGATCGAATTCGCAGGTGTCGACTTAAATATTGGACATTAATCTCGCGGTCGAAACAGTCTCTGATTTTACTTAAAAATAAGTGAGAGAACAATCAAATTACGAGGAAGAATATTCGAGACTAATTGGAATGTTAGATCAAGGAACCAAATCTATAAAAATTCCGTGTCTCAACCACATGAAACGTGTCTTTTTAATTCTTACCACCGCCTTATTACAGTAATATCTCCTCATTAATATCGTTTTGTACTGCGAACTTGGTAGTCGCTACTTTTTTCTCTCTTCAACGGATTCTATGAATAACTGTTTGAACTTGTAGTGAATAGCTTTCATTTATTATAATCTTATTTTACTACATTCGCACTTTGTATTTATCGTTAGAATAAGTATTATGTACTGTATGTTAATCCATTTCGATTTTCTATGCGCATTTTATTCCCTTTACTCCATAATAAACAAATAAAGCAAGCGCCTGAAATATTTTCAGTTGTTACTTTAACTTCCGGAAAATTTTTATGTATATAATCAATAAAAATAAATATATCAGATTCGAGTTACAGGAATTGAAATTTAATTTTTAACATTGAAGATAAAATGAAAGACAGAGCGCAATTTAATTGTCACAAAAGAAGTTACTGAAAAGTGTTAAGTTGTAACTTACATGTAAATTTAATGAGGAAGAATTTGAAGATGAAAGTCAATAACTTTCCAAATAGAAAATTTTAAAAAATTTTGATGTTAATTCCTCTTTAGAGTACAAAGTGCCTTGGTAAAATTTGAAATTTACCAAGATTACTTTACAATATGGCATATTAGATGCAAATTCTGGATTGGTCTCTAGTTTTATTCAAAATAATCCTTCAGCTCATCAGACAATGTTGTAAGCGTAGTGATGGATGACTCCGAGTCCATAACTCGAGTCATACCGTGTTTCCCCGAAAATAAGACATCCGCAGAAAATAAGACCTAGCACAGATTTTGCTGAATTGCGAAATATAAGACCTCCCTCTGAAAGTAAGACCTAGCGAAGTTTATTTTTAGTCGTAACGGTCATCGACAGATGGTTGAAAGTGGCCGTTGGCTTTTTGAAAGTACAGCCACTGATTGGTCAGCAGACAATTACGCCACACGGCATGATTTGCATAAGACTATGGCTTGGGAATCACAGATTTGCATAACGTTACGGCTGGTGATGGCTAATTGGTCG